GACATCAGTGGTTATAGCCTGTAGAGTAAGGTTTATCACACCTGCACTGATCCTTACACTTTGAGGAAGATCGATTGACATATGTGTTTTCACAGCAATCACACTGTACAATTTATTCTCGTTACTAACAGGGGTAGAGAAAGTTCATTAAGTCAAGTATCCACAATGATTAATAAGAGAGTAATAGATTGTATAAGCTGCTATAGTGGAGCACTGGTTACAGGAAGATTTGTAACTATTGACATTTGGTATATTACAATATTCAACAGTGCTTGAGAAAAGATGAACTTTAAAGGCGGCAATATGTATACCTTGAAGTAGATCTTTATCCTTATTGCTATATAGAGTGTGAAAATATTGTACTAATTTATGCCTAGACGGTGTTTTGACAATAGACATGTGCGATCACTATGACTTGTACCATACATATCTCTAGTATGGGAATGAAAATAGTTTATATCCGCTACTGTCAATGGTGTAGATAGCAACATCAATAATTCCCACAGTTAAATTGAGTGAGTTGTAGTTGAGTGCCAAGAGTGTTGTAAATGCTGTACCAAGAGGCATATACAGTAGTAATACCGCTCGTTTCTGTGATGACAATACATTTTACAAGTACGGTTGTAACTGTCACTGTGGATTATCCATGCGACCTAACAAAAGCTAACAAAGTAGATGAATTAGACAATAATGACAATAAATGGCAAACTTGGGGGATTATGCGGGAGATTTCATTTTCTAATTTGGAGACCGGGAGATACGGTTGAAGATCTGGAGTCTGGAGTGTCCTCAGTGGCCTGGATGTATCTGGGAGAGTTGACAGGATTGCGATTATAACGATTAAGTTGAAGATCTTACCTTAGATGAAGGGCCGATAATCAGTTCTCTTGGTAATCCAAAGTTGCCATTTTTGTATGTAGAAACACGTTGTTGGCGTGTTTTTTCAACTAAAGATTAAATATTGGAAATGGGAAGTAAAGCAGTTGATATTTTGACATGTGGTGTGCGAAGGACGGAAGTGTCTCAAAGCAAGGTATTTTATAGAATGTGGGTTTTGTATTTGTTTGTGAATTTTTCTAGAGGCCGTGATGGGAGGAGTGGGTTAAGAAATTTTCAGAAAAGTTTTGGGAAAGTCGTGAACACTCTTGAAGAGGCATGTTTGTTGTTCGAGGTCGGTTCCAGTTTTTTTTTGCCGTTTCGTTGTTTTGTTTTATGTATGCGTCATATGGTAAACTCACGGTAAAAAATGGACAAATATTATCAAAAATAAGCGAAAAGGTATCCTAAACAGATAGACTAAGGACGTTAAAATAAGTGTGAAAATGTTTTCGGGTAGTGGTGATGGTTGCCGGTGCTGATAGTTCCAGCTTGGGCTACCTGTGGAGAAACCACTGTTCGAAAGGTTCGCGGTATGGAGTGCCATATTGCAAAATGTCGATGTTACTAACGTGTAGGGAACTGAGTCCGCGCACTTGCTGATTTGAAGACGTTGAAAATGTTATAAAGAATTTAGAGCTAAGGTGACATCTCTTAAGCTGAGAAATTGGACCTTCCTGGTTTTGGAGACGCTGTGTTGGAGTGTATTTCTATAAATCATTTGTAAAATGTTCGATGTGTCATTCATATGTGAGGGCAGGCTGACTCTTTTCCTGAAATGTCGGTTTTTGCAAATAAGATCTTGATAAGCAGGTTGAAGATTTTGCCATGAACTCTTCATACCCCTTTCCGAGATGAAGGGGAGATTAATCGTGGCAGTCTTGATCAAATTGTGTTGTATTAGCTTACATTTCATGGCCTGCTTGTTTTTCACATCAGAAATATCCAATTGAATTGCAGTGTTACAGGTTGAAGAGTGACTGAAAGTTAATATTGTTATGTTTTGACATTTTTGCTTTGTTTAATGTGCACGGTCTTTGATTTTTTGTTATCGTTGAAACAGAGCTGAAATTTGTGATGTCAACCACAGGGTGCCCAAGGTCACTACAGGAATGTGGAGGTAACTCTTGCTTGCAAGCAGTGTTGTGTTACAAACGGTTATTTACAAAGGGTTGTATGGGGTGTGAATAGTTTTTTAAAAAGAGAGAAAAAATGTTTTGTCTTTTTTAATAAAATTGGTTTACCTTATTGCCTTGCTGTATTTTTTATTGTTTTAATTGCCCATGTCTCAGGGAGTTTTGAGGCATTTTCAGCGAGTTAGTGCTATTTTCGTGTTCCACTGCTAAGAGAAAGTCTGTTTTCGTAGCGGAACACCAAAATGGTGCTAACCTGGTGAAAATGGTTCAAAACGGCCTGAGATATGGGCAAAGAACAAAGAATACAACAAGGGAATAAGATAAGTCGATGTTATTTAAAAAGAAGATTTTTTCTCTCTTTTGACCAAAACTGTTTACATCTCATACAAGTGTTTGTAAATAACTGTTTGTAACACAATAGCATTCACGAGCAAAAGCCACGTCAGCGTTTGTGTAGTGAGGTTGGGCCTTCTGTGTATCAAGGCAATGCAAAATTGATTTCTGGTAAGTGGGCTGATTTGAAGGGGGCCACGTTTTGTAATTTTGAGTTGTTGTGGTACTAATGTTGAGAAAGGGTCCTTTGTTCAGTTTCAGCACAACTTGATTAGAGTATTTCATTTGTTCAAAGAATAATTTCACTCCTTAAAGGAAACTGAATAACTTTTATTCAATTTGAGAAGTTGAAAGTAACAAACAAATCAATAATGGTAAAAAGTAGTTTATTTTTGTTGACAGATTGTAACAA